AAGCCATTAGGCGTATAGGGCATATAGGGCTAGACCTATATTTTTTTTAGACCAATGGCACAAGATGGGTGATGTGGTCAGCATCATGCCGGCTGCCTTTACTTCCCGGAACTCCACCCGGTACCCACTCAAGGCTGGGTCAACATGGGAGCCAAGGTAATTCTTTAAGAAAAGTCCGGTTCCGCCAGGGAGCGAACCCACAACCTTCCGATTTGCGGCACGCGTCTAGCCATTCTGCTACGGCAACTCCCCAGTCATGTTATGAGAAGAAGAAAACTGGAGTACATCGTGACGGTCGGAAATCTGGAGGGGAAGAGAGGCAGAGAGAGACCTAGAGAAGGTGCTGCTGGACAGTTTAACGTCAGGGTAGAGGACGAGGAGAAGAAGCAGAAAAATCTGGAGTCTTGATCAGTTTTTGTTAACATCCAGGGGGGTTGAAACCTGTGACAACCAAGCAGATAGGCAAGGCTGCTACCTATTGTGATTCCCCCCCCCCCCTCTTTTTTTTCCACTAAAAAGATGGATTTTTTATATTTATTTTTTATATTTAGAGTCATCATTTTGCACAAACTTAAAATTTTGTTAATGACATTGTATCACCAAAAACCTGTAGTAGGCAGAAAACCCACTTTCTCACAGTGACAAAGTTCCATTTTTGGCTTGGTATTCTCCTTGCTCTGTATTCATGATATTTCTTTCTAGAAAAAAGTATAATTTGATACAAAAATACTCCATGTGGGTTCTGGGGCCCTATTGTGGGGGAAATAGAATAGACTCACTGCCTCCCCAATGAGCATTGCCGTAAGAGTGGACTAATTGGAGGCTTCCTTCGAAGTAAGAGTGCATCTGCTTAAGAAGCTTGGAATCAACCGTCTGCATACAAATGAGTCAGATCTGTAAAAGGGATATACATGCAGCATTCAAGTTCTGGAACAGGACTAGAGACATGAAGTGGACGAACAAGCAAAACTTCTCGCAGGTGTTTACAGCCTGTAAATGCGAAGAAGAAGATAAAGAAAATGCTGAAAGAAGTCTGTTTCACTGTTTTAACCAAGGAAAATCTCATATGGGCACAAGAAATACGGGAATTAGAGACAGATATGAATAATATAAAGAGATCATAGAGGGAGCTACAGATGGCAGAAGATAAAATACTTTTGCCTTTTGTCAATTTCTGGGGGAAATGCAGAAATAAAAAAAGAGGCAGCAAAATAAGATTCAGGAAAAAAAGAAAGAAGAATCAGTGTTTTTTTTTCTAGGAAAAAAGGTGCCAATACTCGCAAAAAAGTGTCCATTGCAGTAGCAATAAAAAACATGATGCCTAAAATTTAAAAAAAAGGTGCAGGTACTGTGTAACCTGCAGGAAAAAAAGCCCTGAGAAGAATGAACGAATAAACTTTATTTTCAAAGGGTTACAAATTGGGCAAGCAAGCCCGTCTTACATTCGGCCCTTCCAAGCACTCATCTTTCAGACTCCTATTGCATGTTATCGATAATGCATGTTATGTTTATATAAAAATATACATAATGAAATAATGCATACACACTTTATGTATACAAAATCTTACCCACTCGGAATATACACATACATATACATTCTTATATGCTCATATGTACTCAGACACAAGCACACCCATACATATACATACATAGACACTCACATTCATACATACACACTCATACATATACATAATTGCACTCGTGTTTATACACACACATCCGAGCACCCACACTCATGCGTACACATACATACACAAAAAACCCATATATGTCTATATATATGCACAGATGCATAATCACCTTTGTACACACATGCCCTCATACATACACAAGCACACATCCACACACACATGCACTCTCATAAATGCATACACAGATATACATTAACACAAACACCCGCACGCTCATATATCCATATACAACACTCATGCAGACGAATGTATTCATACATACACATCCAAACATACCTATACCTGAATTCATATCCATACTTACTGACATTCATAAGAAACCCCAAACACTAATACATACACGCACTCATACATACAAACATAAACACCTATGTATATATATATATATATATATATATATATATATATATATATATATATATATATATATATATATATATATATATATATATATATATATATATATATATGTTGCAAGTCCATCATGAGTGGTGAAGACAACTTTCATCCAAAGTTGTAATGATCAATGATTATGAGTACGTAGGTGGCTGATTAGTCCAATATGAGCTAGGAAAGTTTTTGAGTAGTGCGGACAACAGATGGAAGCCACAGTAAGTGTGGGATTAGCAGTACGATTCTTTCTAGTCTGCTCTCTCTCTCTCTCTCTCTCTCTCTCTATATATATATATATATATATATATATATATATATATATATATATATATATATATATATATATATATATACACACACACACACACACACACACACACAAGCGCCTTATCTTACACAGTCATAAACAGCCCTACATCCTTGAACACCCTTACATACCCAGAAAAAAAGAACAAACAAGAAGATACAGAAGAAATGGAAACAGAAAAGACGAAGAAACAGAAGATTATACTCTACTTTTGTGATTGTCCTTGAAAGGGTGATTTGCAGTTTCTGTTGTTCAGAGCTCTCCCTGACCTTTCACCCCAGCACCCACACATTTCACTTTTGCAGACTATTTCAAAGATATTTTCTGTTGCAGATTCTGAGATGATGAGTGACAGTGATGAAGATCATGGATACGGTAATAGAAATATTGTTTTAGGTAGCATGTTGTCTTTTTTCTCTCCAAGAACAGCTAGCCACTTGTTGAGAGCATCACACAAAACATGAACTCCATAGCTCCAGTGACAATATCCATGGATCACTGTAAAAAATTGCACTCGGGAATTGAGCAATGCACCTGGGAAATGAATCCATGACCTTCAGAAGATGAGGTCAAGGACTTTACCGCTTCACCATGGAGAGCCCCATGATGAAAACACCATAAGCAGATAAAAAGTGTAATGAAGATATCTTCAAAGAAATTAACTCATTAAAAAAGCTGAATACCCGATCACAAGAAAGAGACAACTTTGTTTGGGCATTTTTACTGTCTTTATTTAGTTAATTTTCTCCAACAGTATCAATGTCATCTGTGTAACCAAGTATTCTTTTAGTTTCTTATATAGTACAATCTTCTTTGCGTTCGGCTTTGTATGCTCAAATTAGACCATCAGGTGGGTTGCTTCTATGAACTCGCATGTCAGCTGCAGGTCCTTCATGGTTCTCCATAGCTTGCTCTGCACACTTTGCTCCTAAGGCCAGGTTTATTTTTGAAGTTGTAGGTAGAGTGGGCAGGTCTGTAGAATGTGCTCCGGTGTTTGTGGTCCTGTTTGAATGGCACACTGTAGGGACTGTACAATCTTTATTTTATGCATGTGGTAGTTGAGCCTACAGTGTCCTGTTCGTAGACGAAAAATTGTTGTATGTTGCTTTCTGTTGAGTCTGCTGATGAGGTCTTGTGGATGTTTACTGTTAGTTTGTTCTCTAAACAATTCCTTGTATTTTCCTTTGAAAGTGTTCTGATTTCTGGTAATGACAATGAATGGGCGTATTGTTTTTCCTTTGTTCCATTTTTTGCAGACATCTTATTTCTTTGGTTCTTTGCACATTTATTTCTGTGAAAGGAAAAAAAAAGGGACAGTTCTAATTCCTTTGGTTCTTTGCTTGCTTGTTAAGGTCAGAAAAATAAATAGTTGACTGCTTCAAATTTGCTGAAGACAGCTTCGGTTATAATTATGGTCTGGTTTTGTTTGCTAGTGAGTGTCCTTCAACCTCACCATGACTGCACAACAAGCGACTAACACCTAATGTCACAAAGTGCCACCAGACGGATGAGAATCCCCAGGCGCAAGTTCCAGAAACTCTTTCAACCACTTGGTTATATAAGGGCCCCGACGACAGCCTAGGGTGGGGGGGGGGGGGGGGGGAGGGGGGCGTCAAATAACTAAATATTTTAGATTGAAACTAAAATTAGCTGCGCCAATTTCAGTGTGGCTAAAATGGCTTGTGCCAGTAGTTATGGCTTATTGTTTGGTTTATACAGTTTGAGTTTAGACGACAGATCAACATCATGACACATCAAGGGTAGTAACCCATAAGTGCTCCGTTCTACTTCTGACTCAAGCCTGAGTTCAAAGAATCTCCTTTATGCTGTTAGGGGGTCCTGTTACAGGTGTCCATCTTCCTGACTGTGCTTTTTTTGTTCTGGGTATGATTGGGTCGTTCTCCTTATATCTTTTTTTTAGATTTGGTGTCCTGTCATCTGTCCTTGAGGTCCCTGCCCTTTTCCATTTGTCTTCTTCTCCTGTTGTGGGCTGTTGATTTGGGTCAGTCCTACTAAGTCTTCATGTTACCCGCTGGGCATTCCGGGCAAATACCAGTGGACCTTATTAGTTGCTGGGACTTATTTGAGTAGACCAATTATAGTCAACATTATACCAGCAGACATTTCGTGTGTTTGTCTCCCCTGGTACCCATTTTAGGCTGGATCGACCTGGGGGAGGAGGGGGTTTAGGGGGTCTTGTCAGTTTGTTATTAAAAGTGCCTCAATTTGAATTTCACTACCAGCAGGCTAGACGCTGCTTATTATACGTGTGTTCCTGTGTATGTATGTGCCTGCAGCCTATGAGAAATAGGGAGTGAGGGGGAGATAAACAGAAAGGTATCCTTGCACTCAAGTCTAGAATTCACTTTATGGATTTCAGGAACCTCAGTTGTTGTGGGGATGGGGGTTGTGCCATGCCATAACAGGTGACTGAGCATCTGCCGAAATAAGATGTCTTAGCCCGAAAAGTACAGATATCACAGCCAAGCTGTAAACCATAATACAGTGTAGCCACCACCATTTTAAAGGTACACACAGAAGATGAATGGACGGAGAAAGACTATAAATGGATATCTTTATATTTGTCTTTATATATATTTCCTCCACAGAAGCCGACTGTGATGGTACTTTTGAAGTAGACATTAAACTTATAAATGGAACAGTGAAAGAGAATTATCCTGTTGTACTTGCCAACACAGTTCTCGCGGTTGGTTGCTTATCTGTTGTTTATTTTAATTATTTTAAAAAGTTAATTCTTCTTCTTTTTGCTTATCTGTTTATATATATTGTTTATTCTAATTGTCAAAAAGTATATTCTTCTTCTTTTTGCTTATCTGTTTATTTTAATTATCAAAAAAAGTATATTATTCTCCTTTTTTCTTAGTGTTCAATAGCTGAAAACTCTGGCAGAAACTAGTTTGGTCTTTGTATTTCGCGTGCACATCCATTTTACAGATCTAGCTTATTAATATGCAGACTGTTGACTCCTCATCTTTCAAGCAGATGCATTCTGACTTCATAGCAAACATCCTTAATTAGTAGCCTCCTATGAAATGCTTGTTAGAGGAGCAGTCTGTCTGTTATTTAAAAAAAAAAATTATGGGGCCCCAGAATCTATCTTTTTCTTCTTCTCAGTATTTTGAGCCCTTGAAGTTCATTATTGCAGATATCACCCCCCTCCACTCATCTCTCTGGTTGGCCTTCTCTGTCCGGTTGGGAACACCAAGTGTTTGCAGGTCTCTCGGGACATTAACTCTCCATTGTCTTCTTGGTCTGCCTCGTGGACTACGACCATTCATCTCCCTTGAGTATACAAATTTTACCTCTTTGTCAAACATTCTCTCAATATACCCCAGCCATTTCAACCTGTTAGCTCTCATGATGCCAGTAATCAATGATGATTTAAACAGATTATAAATTTCGTTGTTGCTTCTTACTCTCAATTCCCCGCTGTTTACATCTTTGATAGGTCCAAAGATTTGTCATAATACCCTGTTTTTGAAAACCTGTAATAAGCCATCATCTCTTTTTAGTTGTGCTCCAAATTTCAGAGCCATATAAAACGAGTGGTCTTATCGTTTTATTTCCATACAGAAAGCCATACAGGGAATAAAATATATTGAAAGTAAGTAAAGTAAGAAGAACTAATATAACTTAATTGATGTTAAGCTTTGACTCATTGGTCTCAGCGTGGCTTCTGGGACCAAATTTGGGGGAAAGGGGTGGGGGGGGGGAATACATGTTACACCCCTAACAAGTATGTCATAACAAGCAGCTAAATAGAAGTGTTTCCTTAGAAGTTGGAAGTCCATATGCCTGAGAGGTGAGAAATCCAAAGTCTGCGTACAAAAAACCAAACCAAACCGTACAAATAAAACGTGTGTAAAACCTATGTGCATGTAAAACTCAAGTTCTGCAACAACCAAAGTCCAGAAGCTGATGAATAACCAGAACTTTCTACTGTTGTTTATAGCTGGGGAACACAAAAAAGAAGAAGAGGTACTGAGAAGGTCATAGTTTGGTACAAAATGATTGTTTGAAAAGTTTTTGGAAGGGTTGCATTTATAACTAATTTCTAGCATTTAGGTTTGATTCATTCAAACTGGTTATTCTTTGCAGGAGAAAACCAGAATATGGGCACAAGAAAATCAGAGGGGACCTCCAGAATTGGCAGATGTGGTGCTTGTTCTTGTAGATCCTCATGGCGGACAAAAACTCATGGATGATCATAAGCGTATTGAGGACTACCTTGATAATCTTGCAAGCAGCTCAATTGAATTTATATATAAAAGGTAATTATAACTTCTTATTCTTCCTGTTTAGTTATCCCCATGTGGGGTGCAATTTGTTTGTTAATTGAAGCCCCACCCTGGCTTCTGGCGGGGGCCCTGAATATAGCCGGGAGATAGATATGGCCTAGCCATAGAAAGAAATTAAACGCAACTATCAATTGCTCTTCAAAGACTAAAACAACTGAATAAATTATGGAATTGTACAGATAGAATTACAAAGGTCAGATTTTTAAGAGCATGCATCTTTCCCATTGCAACATACGCCTGTGAGACCTGGACACTCACTAAACAAGCGGAACAGCGCATAAATGCATTTGAATATAAATGTTACAGACAGGTTCTAAGAATATCTTGGGTAAAGAAAAGAACAAATGCATCCATACTTCAAGAGCTGAATATTGAAGAGGGTTGGCTAGTAAAGACAATAAAACAAAGAAAATTGAATTATTTTGGTCACTTGAAACGTCATGGAAGTCTAGAGAGAACAATAATGGAGGGGTATATGCCTGGGAAGAGAGGAAGAGGAAGGCCATGGAGAAGATGGGTGCAGGATGTGGCAGATGATCTCCAGATGGGTGTATCAGACGCAGGACATCTTGCTCAGGATAGGAAGGTTTTCCAGAGGTTTGTTATGGCAGCGAGGTTCCGCGAGGGACATGCTACTGAATGAATGAATGAGCCATAGATATGGCCTTACGGCTCAAAGGGGTTTCTGAGACCTCTCCATGGATGATTCTCATGGTGGCACTTTGTGTCACCGGATGTTTATAGCTTGTGTGATGTCCTGGTGGGGTACAACTACCTACCTACCCTATTCTTCCCTTATAGTTCTGCTCCACTTGGTGGTGAACTGCTGTATGACCAGCTAGATATTGTGAGGGTCCTTTGGAAGCGAGTGAACAGTGCGTGGGGAGGCACAAATAGATCATTACGGTCTGAGGAGAATGACGCTGCGAAAGGTTACCAGGGGGATCTCGCCCACGCTTAGCATGCAATGGAAAGGCTAGACGGATGTACAATCAGAAAGTTATTGGTACCATCGGATTTGGGATTCTTCACTGCTGCCGAAGATGGGGACGAAGCGCTTATGGGAGTGTCCGGAGTGTATGATGTCGATTTTTAATTCAACATTCTTCTTTTAATCATGCCCTGGGGTACTGATCCACTTATCTGTCTTCTGCCTCGTGTAAAAGGTCCCTGGCACATTGGGCATATAAGGCTAGACCCATATTTGTATAGACCATTTGGCCCTCGGCGGGTGATGTCATCATTGTCACGCTGGCCACCTTTACTTCCCAAGACTGTACCTGGTACCCATTTAAGACTGGGTCAACTTGGAAGCCAAAGTCGTGCTTGAAAAAAAATCAGGTTCCAAGCAGAATTGAACCCACGGCCTTCAGATATGCAGGCGAGTAAATAGCCACCACACCACATTGTTCTTCTACCTTCATGCACTGTCAATAATTTTGGATACCCATGTTCGTCCATGCTATGATGCCAAATTGTCCAACATCTTTTCACTTTGACTTCCTCTTGCTCTTTTCCCTACAACTTTACTGCTATCACAGCCATCATCAGCTTACACTTGTGATGTCTTTTGGCCAACCTTCTCATTCACCGGCTGTAAATTCTTGGCAGAAAAAATCCTGGTTGTCCATCTACTTCTAGACTTTAATCTTCTTCCAGCACCTGAGTTGTATGTTATACAGTTTAGGCTTTGTGTGTGCAGACTGTTGGTTCCTTGCTGTTTGATTACTGGTCTAAGAATCAACATCATAGCACATTGGGAATACCCATAGATGCTCCGTCTCCCACAGCAAATGATGTAAGGTGTAGATGCTAACTGTTCCCATAGCACACTGATTATACACATGCAGATCTCTTCCTCTCATCTGTCCTTCCTTGCCGGATCCACACTTAATTCCTTGTTCACACGTTTTTGCCCATGTTATTTCATCTGATCTCGTGTCTTCTGCCAAAAGTCGTTCATATATAGTTGGTTTCTTGCCTCTCAGGACTGTGCGCTCCAACTTTGAAAGAAATGTTGATCCCACCTTTCGATTGGGAACCTGTTTCTTGGGTGACTGTGGACGGGTGTGGACAGGTCTTGACCAGTATGAGGGATTCCTACCCGATACCCGAGAGTGGTGGAACTGATTTTGATGATTCTCTGAGATTTTAAATGACTTATTAACATCATAAATTTATAGGACATTGGGTACCGATGGCCTAAGATGCTCTGCTGTGGAAACTGATTCCTGGGATCCCTACCTGAGAGTGGCGGAACCAATTTCAATAATTCTCTGTTAATTTAATTTACTTCTTAATACCATACATTTGTAAAACATCTTGTTCAAACCTGGTCCCTAACAAGAGCACAGGAGAAAAAGATCACGACGTGCGAAATGAGATGCTTACATAAGGCTGCCAATGTCACAAGGAGAGACGGAGTTCGAAACGAGAACATTAGAGCAATTGAAGGAACCACACCATGCCTGCAATACATAAAGAAGCAACAAATAGAGTGGTTTGGCCACTTGATGCGAATGCAAACCGACCAACTGCCTCTACGAGCATACAACGAACAGCACTACTGCCCTAGAGCAAGAGGCAGACCGAGAGTACGATGGATAGACAATATATCAGAGATCCTGAGGCAACACGGACTAACAACAACACGTGCAACACACCTGGCCCAGGATAGAAAACTGCGACTCCCCACTACGCTGTGAGGCAATTGTGGACAAGACAAGACAAGACCAATGGCCAAAGATGCTCTACTGTAGAAACTGATTTTTTTTAAATGGTTCTTAAGTCAGGCAGATTAAGAATCACTGGCCCGGAATATGTATATATAGGCCTTCCACTTCACATCACATTGACAGTATCTGCTGTGGGGCTACATTTTTCTTTACAGTTAATCAGGTAACTAGTAATAATATTGTTCTTTATTCCAACCAGGCAACCATAGAGATTCATCTCAACTTTCAGCCACAGCAAAGCAGATGAAACATTTGTGTAGAAACTTCAGCCTTCAAACATAGAAGAGTTAACGGGTTTATAAGTATTATATTTGTCAACACATTACTGATGTGGTTTTAAGAGTTTTATTTTTTTTTAAATTGAAAAATACTCCAATGCATTAACTACGGACTTTTAAAATGTGGCAGCATGAATTCTTATAAAATAAAAATAAAAGCATATGTGGGGCGAATGGGTTAAGGCTTTCTCCACATTACACCACACAACTTCTAGGAGAAAAGCTTAATTTCATTACTGCTGGCTGTGATATTTTTATTTCGACTTGTTCCCTACTGGCTGGATTTTGCATGTGGTGTTCAGTTTTCCCATGCCAGCCTTTCTGACATATAACATCGACTGAAATGTTGCTTTTTTTCTCTCCTTCCCTGTTATAAAATATCGTCAGTCATTATTATATCATTTTCTGGATGTTATGAATCCAGTAGTACTGTCTTTCCCTAAAAATAATACCAATTTTTATGTTACTTTTTGCTCCAAATGACACATTGACTTTTTCATATATAGCATGGGGTTGCGTAGTACTGTGGTTTTTGATCCGCCTTCTGGCCCAGTATTTCCGACTTCAGGATCTCTTGAGAGGGAGAGTAGCCTCATCCCTTCGCCTTTACCTCGTTTGTTGTCCTATCCAGTTTCCCGCAGGGGGTTAAGACCCCAACCTTCAACTGGATTGCTGGGAAGAACAGGGTCCACCACGTGAAGTGAGGTAGGCTTGAGCAAGAGAGGCTAATAGACATTAAGAGTCTTGTATTGCGCATCATTGCTCCATTTGGACCCCTTTGACTTATTTTTAGATTTTTTTTTTTTTCATTTACAAAAATGTATATAATTCACGTACAGAAAAATACATTTAATCCAACACATTCAAGTCCGCTTCTTCTGGAGCGTCTGTATAATTCAATATGTCTATCACCTGTTTGAACAGATGAACAAAATCTGTCCATCTGGCCGAGTCTTTAACTAGAGCTTGTATTTGGGATAGTGCTTGAATTTGAGAATTTGGAATAGGCCTTGTTTTATCAGCATCTTGAAAATCATGGTACAGCTTATTTTCAGGAAAAGAGTTCTATCCATTTTGTCCAGTGCCTTACAGTATTGACTAATTTTTTTGTTTTTTGTTTTGTTTTACCAGTGCCTGCTATGTTTTATAAAGTGTTCATTTTTATTTACCCCAGAGAAGATATACTCATATAAATAGATAAAAAAGGTGAACAGATGTGTAGGTAGGGTAGTTGATACATCAATTAGTAAATAGATAGTGAACTAAAGGACCGTTTTGGGCATAACGGGCTAGACCTATATTTTATGGACCAGGTGGCACTTGGTGGGTGACGTGGTCAGCATCATGCCGGAGTAAATGGATAGACAGACTGTTAATAGATATAATTAAATATGCCTTATAGTAAATGGGGGAGTCACCGTGGTGGAGCGGCTAGACGCTCCCTGCGGATCGGAAGGTCGTGGGTTTGCTCCCTGGCGGAATGGACTTTTTTTTTTTTTAAATCACCTTGGCTCCCAGGTGCAGACCAGGGGAGTAAAAGCGGCTGGCATCATTCATCTTGTGCCGATTGGTCTATAAAATATAGGTCTAGCCCTACATGCCCTTTACGCCTAAAGGCGTGGAAAAGCGGTCTTTACATTTTTTTTTGTCAGCTGGTAAATGGTCAGACAGGTGTCAGTTGGTAAATGGGCAGACAGACAATTAGATTTGTCAAGAAATGGAAAGACAGATATGCCAGTAAATGGGTAGACAGAAGGATTTTTCAGTAAATGAGTAGCCAGACAGATATGTCAGTTGGTAAAATGGGTAGACAGACAAATTAGGTATGTTAGTAAATGAACAGACATATGGCAGTTGATAATTGGGTGAACAGACAGATAAGTCAATAAATGGATAGACGAATAATTACAAGTGTTATTAAATGGGTAGACAATCTATTAGTCATTTAGTAAATGTGTAGACAGACAGATAAGTCAGTAAATGGCAGTTAGATACGTCAGTAAATGGGTAGACAGGCAGTTAGATATGTCAGTAAATGGTTAGACAGTTAGATAGGTCAGTAAATGGTTAGACAGACAGTTATGTCAGTAAATGGGTAGACAGACAGTTAGATAGGTCAGTAAATGGGTAGACAGTTGGATATGTCAGTTAGTAAATGGGTATACAAACAGATAAGTCAGTAAATGTGTAGACAGACAGACAGTTCAGTCAGTAAATGAGAAGAGAATTAGATATGTCAGTAAATGTATAGACAAACAGATAAGTCAGTAAATGTGTAGACAGACAATTAGATATGCCAGTTAGTAAATGAGTAGACAGACAATTAGATATGTCAGTAAATGAGCAGACAGACAATTAGATATGTCAGTAAATGGTGAGACAAGACAATGAGATAGGTCAGTAAATGGGTAGACAGACAATTAGATATGTCCGCTAGTATATGGGTAGACCAACTGTTAGGTATGTAAGTTAATAAATAACCAATTGAAAATGTAGCCAGAAAGTTGATATGTAAATAGGCAGATAAGTAACAGGTTATTCCTAAAAAGAATATAATCTGAATGGTTAAAATAATTATATTATTGCTATGAGGCTTGCCATAATTTTGCATTTTTCTTTATTTTTTTTAAGTTACAAAATTAGTGATTAATATGCATAAATGATTTGACTATGCATTACCATGTGTTTATCTGTATGACTTTAGCTAACCTTTATTGCTTTGTTTGTAACCTACTGACATACATAAGGGGCTTCACGTGAGAACCTTTCAAGTGTACTTTCAATTTACAGTGACTGTGCCATTATCTTGTAACTTGTCTGTATTGTTGTTAAGGATAATGGTCCAGCGTTAGAGATGACAGGGAAAGGTGGACTGTGACACAGCGGTGAAAGAGGAGAGGTTTATCAAGTATAAAAACATCAGTCTTGTGTGTTCTTTCTACTGAGTGTTACCCAGCTGTAAACTCCAGCAGAAAGTTCTATAATGTTCATCTACTTCTTAGCATTACCCAGCTGTAAACTTCAGCAGAAAGTTCTATGTTGTTCATCTACTTATTAGCATTACCCAGCTGTAAACTCCAACAAAAGTTCTATTTTGTTCATCTACTTCTTAGCATTACCCAGCTGTAAACTCCAGCAGAAAGTTCTATGGTGTTCATCTACTTCTTAGCATTACCCAGCTGTAAACAGAAAGTTCTATGTTGTTCATCTACTTCTTAGCATTACCCAGCTGTAAACTTCAGCAGAAAGTTCTATTTTGTTCATCTACTTCTTAGCATTACCCAGCCGTAAACTTCAGCAGAAAGTTCTATGTTGTTCATCTACTTCTTAGCATTACCCAGCTGTAAACTCCAGCAGAAAGTTCTATATTGTTCATCTACTTCTTAGCATTACCCAGCTGTAAACTCCAGCAGAAAGTTCTATGGTGTTCATCTACTTCTTAGCATTACCCAGCTGTAAACAGAAAGTTCTATGTTGTTCATCTACTTCTTTGCATTACCCAGCTGTAAACTCCAGCAGAAAGTTCAATGTTGTTTATCTACTTCTTTGCATTACCCAGCTGTAAACTCCAGCAGAAAATTCTATTTTCTTCATCTTCTTCTTTGCGTTACCCAGCTGTAAACTCCAGCAGAAAGTTCAATGTTGTTTATCTTTTTCTTTGCATTACCCAGCTGTAAACTCCAGCAGAAAGTTCTATTTTCTTCATCTTCTTCTTTGCGTTACCCAGCTGTAAACTCCAGCAGAAAGTTCAATGTTGTTTATCTACTTCTTTGCATTACCCAGCTGTAAACTCCAGCAGAAAGTTCTATATTGTTCATCTACTTCTTAGCATTACCCAGCTGTAAACTCCAGCAGAAAGTTCTATGGTGTTCATCTACTTCTTAGCATTACCCAGCTGTAAACTCCAGCAGAAAGTTCTATGTTGTTCATCTTCTTCTTTGCGTTACCCAGCTGTAAACTCCAGCAGAAAGTTCAATGTTGTTTATCTACTTCTTTGCATTACCCAGCTGTAAACTCCAGCAGAAAGTTCTATGTAGTTCATCTACTTCTTAGCATTACCCAGCTGTAAACTCCAGCAGAAAGTTCTATGGTGTTCATCTACTTCTTAGCATTACCCAGCTGTAAACAGAAAGTTCTATGTTGTTCATCTACTTCTTAGCATTACCCAGCTGTAAACTTCAGCAGAAAGTTCTATGTTGTTCATCTACTTCTTAGCATTACCCAGCTGTAAACTCCAGCAGAAAGTTCTATGTAGTTCATCTACTTCTTAGCATTACCCAGCTGTAAACTCCAGCAGAAAATTCTATGTTGTTCATCTACTTCTTAGCATTACCCAGCTGTAAACTCCAGCAGAAAGTTCTATGTTGTTCATCTACTTCTTAGCATTATCCAGCTGTAAACTCCAGCAGAAAGTTCTATGTAGTTCATCTACTTCTTAGCATTACCCAGCTGTAAACTCCAGCAGAAAGTTCTATGTTGTTCATCTACTTCTTAGCATTACCCAGCTGTAAACTCCAGCAGAAAGTTCTATGTAGTTCATCTACTTCTTAGCATTACCCAGCTGTAAACTCCAGCAGAAAGTTCTATGTAGTTCATCTACTTCTTAGCATTACCCAGCTGTAAACTCCAGCAGAAAGTTCAATGTTGTTCATCTACTTCTTAGCATTACCCAGCTGTAAACTCCAGCAGAAAGTTCTATGTAGTTCATCTACTTCTTAGCATTACCCAGCTGTAAACTCCAGCAGAAAGTTCTATGTTGTTCATCTACTTCTTAGCATTACCCAGCTGTAAACTCCAGCAGAAAGTTCTATGTAGTTCATCTTTTCTTAGCATTACCCAGCTGTAAACTCCAGCAGAAAGTTCTATGTTGTTCATCTACTTCTTAGCATTACCCAGCTGTAAACTCCAGCAGAAAGTTCTATGTAGTTCAT